GGGGGAGCCAGAGGGGGGTGGTCTCGCTTTTCCCTTTGGCTCTCTCCGTTTCCTTCTTTTTCTCTCTCCCCCTTTGTCTTTCTCCCCCCGTCTGTTTTCTTCTTTTTCTCCTCCGTCTTGTTTTTTTTCTCTCTTTCTGTTCTCTCTCTCTCTCTCTATTTCTTTCTTGCTCTTTCTGTTCTCTCTCTATTTCTTTCTTTTTTGATTTCTCTTTTTTCCCTCTGACTTTTTTCTGTCTTTTTTTTTCTCTATCTCTTTTTCCCCCTCTCTCTCTCTCTCTCATTCCCTCCCTCTTTCCCCCCCCCCCCTTTCTCTATCCCTCCCTATTATTATAAAATCTTTAATATCAATTTTTATAGGCATGAGAACTACTAGGATAACAAACTTACAATCCTTCTAAAAAAAACTCCAATGGATGTTTAAAAAAGAAACGATATTTTCACTGGGAATATTTATTTTACAAAAAAAAAAAAAATCACAGAAAGGAAAATTAAAAAAAGACTAGAACAAAAAAAACAAATAAAACAAGAGAAAAGACCTAGAAGAATGTATTATAAAACTGTGCAGACTAATGTATGTACAGTGATATTGTTCTGATCCTATGGAATCTAAGATTAAGTAGCACTATATTGTACTGATCTCAGAGGAACACTGAGTTGTAAATGAACTGTACACGAACTCTCCATAAATCTGGCAAAAAATACTCTTACATAAACTCGTAAACTAGTTGTGTTTATACAATATGTAAGACTATGTAAATACAATAAATTTCTCTCTTTTTATCATATCGAACTGTACACGGGGTCGGTATTGAAATTATTGTTCTCCAGAGTTCTGTCGCGTCGAAAATGGGGATCTAGGTGTTGCGAGATTTAAAGCCAGGATTCCATTTCATTTTTTTTTCTCACTTTTTTTTTTTACATTAATTATAGACCGTCTCGCCTTTTTTTCTTTTCTCTCCATTGATGTTAGGCCGATTTTTTTTTTCCATTTTCTTTCCCATTTTCTGTGCTCGGCCTAACGGGTAACTATTATATTATTTTCTGTTGCACTGTATTTTTTTTTTTCACAGACTGCAAGAGGATTTTCCCCGCAATAGTCCGCTGAGGCGACGGAGACCGGCTGTCCTGTACCTTTCACATTCGTCTATTTCTACAATCGACCTTTCAAAGTTTCTCGTGTCATGCGTCGATTTCCATATGTCTGTCTGTCTTGCACTTTTTTTTCTCCACTTGAAATATTTAAAAAAAAGAGCACATTAAAACACAAATCATAAATCCTCACATCAACTCGTTCCGAAACTTTCATTTCAAACGGAAAATAAAGAAGAAGTTCCCTTTAAAGCTATAAAAAAGAAATTTATGTACACTGCATAAATAGAGTCACTTTCCCGAGCTCCTTCCGGGAATCATCGCACAATATAACCGCGTATATTACACATTAGCAGTTCCGTTAAAAAATAAACTTCTTTTAAAAATGCGATTCACAAGAGGGCGTTGCTTCAGACCCGTACACAGCGAACCCGACTATCTCGAGTCGAGTCACAGGGAAAGGAGTTTTAAAAAGTTCATACAGAGACGTTATTATCATCATCATCATTATTATTATTATTATTAATTAAGAAGTCACTCTCGTCCTTTTCCTGTCATTTTCATTTTCATTTCGCGACAGAAATAACGTTTACGGCAGGCGAATCTGCACAACGTTCTCTCCTCCGGCCGCTCGCTTCCTCCGCGTTTTTCTGGCCTCAAATGTCCACTTTTTTGCGCGTGGTGGAGGGGGGTGGTGTGGTGAGGTCGTGTGTGGTGGGGTAGTGTGGTGGGGGTTGGGGGTGGGGGAGTCGAAGCGCGAGTCGGGTCACGCCTTCGCCCGACCCGCCCGACGCGAGCCGACCCGATGCCCGACGTCGCTGAGGAGGAGGACGTCCCCTCTCCTTGGCCCTTCACTCCATCTTGTCCAGTTCGTCGCAGGACTTCGACTTGGAAGCTCTGAAACGGCGAGAGAGAAAGAAACAGGCGTGAGTGTGGTTTATGAATTCATTTTATCTTTAAAACAATGTATGATGTGTTTTATGAATCCATTTTACTTTAAAATGAGGTATGAGAGTGGTTTTGTGAATCCATTTTATCTTATCTATTCACCTATCATCTCTCTTTATCATAAAATATATAAACCACCTATCCACCTCTTTTCTAACAATAATTAAATACTCTTCCAATATACTAGAAGTTTATTTAATAATAAACAAACACAAACATTCAACCAAGCAACCAACAACACACACACAACACGAAAAAAAATCCCATAAACAAGACAAAGACTATGCAAAATACCCCCCCCCCCGCCCGCCCTGCCCCCCCCCCCCAACTCTAACCAAAC